CAGAACCCAGCTCCTGAGCTAGCAGGTGTGTTCCCAAGGCGTACTAAGGGCGATAGATAACTCTCTTATTCATTTATTGTTAAATTAAAGAACGCCGGTAACAACGTGGAGGTCTGACTCCCTGCGATGACAGGTTTGTTCCAACAACGATCTTGGAACAATACATAAACCAGTCCAAGACTTATCGTTGACAATCTGTCGACGACTAGTAATTGACAACCTGTCAGGTACTGGTCAGGGATTGGGACTCAACTGGGAACTCGATTATGTTGGAACACATTTTTTAAATTCAACAGACGCCCCATTACAATAATAAACCACAAAATAAAATAAATGATAATGAACAAAAATTATGAAGACTAAACTCGATTAACAAATACAAATCAGAACTGTCAGAGACAATAGATACAAATAATATAATTACAATCACGAAATGTTTAGTTTATTGCGGCTTTGCGCATGTCTTGAAAATTCGTTCCTGTTCAGACCTAGGAACTGATTTGACGGTATACAAATCGATTTGTGATTAGTTTTGGTTGTGTTGGAACACTATGTTTTTGTACATTTTTGAGTCTAAGGTTTGTTGGAACACGAATTCTAGACTACGCAGAATCCTGACAGTACGCAAACTGATTTGGTTTATGTTGGAACAAACCTGGACAGGTTTTTATCAAATCTACAAGTACTTGTTTTCGCCTTTGGGGTCCGGAGATGGTCTTAATAATTGGTAGGAGCATTTTTGAGATTTGTTTCCGAATTTTCAAATTAGTTAAAAACTTATTTCAGAAAATTTTGACCTTTCGGATTTCGATTTGCGATCTACGATATATTAAATTCACAATTTCATATTTTTTATTCATTAATATCACTTTTATGTATCGTCTTTTACACGTGTAGCGTATATAGATATTGAACATTCTAATTCATAACCTCTAAGTTTTATAACCTAAGACATTTCGTTGACGGCGTCAAGTGACAGATTTATTGTGCTTTTTGTGAGGTTTTCGTGATTAACTTGAACAATGAACTGTTTAATAAGGTAATTTTGGATGGTGAGGAAATGTGTAATATGATAAAATATTTGTAATAAGAATGTTATGCGCTCATTTCATAGGTAAGGTTTTGTTAGCATAAACGGAGGCAATAGTGAATAGAGTTCGATTCATAAACTTTCCGTCGCCGTTACCGTTCCCGTTGATATTCATAATTTATGAAGCTGCCGTTTAGCGCCATTGTGTGCTGGGTAGATAATCTAATCGATTAAGACCAAATAAATCAAAGTAAGAAGAAAAGAAGGAAAATCTGACGTTCATCCAGATTGTTGCGCGATTTTCGTTTTGAATTTTCATTGAGGGTTGTTGTAGATCAGCACATAAAGTGGCATGCATACATAAATTGGATTTCTAATAAAATTCGAAAACCAATTTACAGATTTTATTGTTTAAAATACGTTTTAAATAAAAAAAATTTAGTCATAATATATAAATAATTTATTGAATTAATAAAATTTGGAATTTGCTTTAGGGAGTTTCATATATATTTTTTTTTTTTTTTGGAGTATTGTTACTATACTCTGTTTTTAAACTAGGAGGAGCGAATTGAAAAGACGCATTTACACAGGGAAAAGTAACTAGATTTGTTACTAAGAGCGAGTTTCGAAATATAGTCGTGTTCAAAATTTATGAAATAATTATCTTTATCGGCCTTAGTCGGTGAACGGCCAATGAGCGGTTAAGAAACGAATAAATGTCATAGAAGTAATTTTTTAATTGGTCCCAGACAACGGTCGCAAATTTCACATTATTATGATCTGAAATGTGTGTCTAAAACGAAATGTCACTGTCAAATTAAAGTCAATATGGTTGTTGATTGATGTCAGAAATACTTTTTTTCTTGTTTTTGAAATCGACTTTTTGAGAATAACTAAGATCTTTTTAAAAAGGATATTAAATATTTAAGAAAATTGTTAATGGAATATCCAGATGTAGCCAGGTTAGTATAAAATATAAAGATCTGTTTACATTTTTAAGGATAATTTGTTATAGGTATAAAAAGTAAAAGTTAATCAGTGAATGACAAGTGGATCACACAGTAACTGGTATCTCTTCTATGAGTAATGTGGATATTATGGCTTATTTAGTGTTAACCCATGGTTAATGCGCTAGAGGGCAAATAAAGGCATTCAAAAGTTTACAGGCCTATGAGTCAGAATTTGTTTTGAAAACTGGAACCAACATTTTCATAACACTACATGTCAACATATATTTTTTAAAGTGAACTATTCATACATACTTATGTATTAATTTTAAGTATTTTTAAAATATTTTTTGTGAAAATGTTAACTCATTGTGCCAAATTAAGATTATCCCTAAAGTAGTAGATGGTGTTTTAAATGTTATAACAATTTTGTAAATAGTTTTATTCTACTCTAATAAATTTACATTTTAATCATTTTGGTTAGAAATTCATCAATTTTTAGTTTTAAAAAATCAGTAATAAAATTATTTTTTTCTAAAATACTTCGGAATTCATCTCTTCATGGCAATCTCTCATCTTTTTACTTTCAAAAACCATTCAAAATGCATTTTCTACAAAACCTTCAGAATCAGCATGTAAAATAATAAGGTGTCTTCCCTTTCTTGTAAGGCTTTTCAGGAATTGCTACCTTTAATAGTACTCAGTGTAGAAGGATCCATAATTGTAGATTTTCAATACAATTGCTTACTGAAGAACTATTATTTACGAAATAAAGTAAAAAACTAAGTAATGGTTGAGATATCAAATTATAAAATGTCAGAACTGTCAACAATATCAATTATTAGCTGATGTTCATGCTAAAAAGTAATGTGTGAAACTGACTGTAATCTGACCAATCAGAAGGCTACAGAATTGCCAACTTACATTCAAATCGCTCCTCTTAGTTTAAAAACAGAGTATAGTCATTACTGACTAACCTACAATTTTAATCTAAAAATCTTATAAACTAATTACTTATCTAAGAAGTCCCAATTGGGCTGTCTTAATTAATTCTATAGGACACTAACATTAACGTTCACTGCACTAGCTCAAATGGCTTCTTCCTTTTGAGCCTTCTGTTGAGTGTAGAGTTGTCCAGTAATTGCAGCGCTTCTTCGTTGACGGAGACGACCCTCATGTTTCGCAGCAAACCTCTTTATTTCTTCTTCAGGTCTCTATGAAGATAATCGTTTCGGTAGAACCAAGGTGCATCATCTTTATTTTGGAAAACTTGTATCATGTTGATATTACTCTTGCTGGCCATCCTCATAGCTGTATGCCATAAATCCAGATTGGTTTTGGGATTTGTTTATAAATCAGTAGTTTGTTGTGCACTGACAATTTGGATTTTCTTCCTAGGAGCCAATACATTTTATTGAATTTAAGTTCAAGTTCTTTACGCTTTTTTTATGTGCTCTTTCCGTTTAGGTTCATCCCTCGGTATTTGACCCAATCGTGATGCGGAATAACGTCATTGTTTATTCTTATTTATTTTTGTTCATTTGGTCGAAGAGTAAAATCAAAATCAACATGCACTGATTTAGTTTGATTTATTTTTATTTTCCACTTTTTGTCCATCGATTGATTCTGTTGCAGGTTTCCTGAAGTTTTTCTGAGGTCTCTGTATTAGTTCCGCCATTTGCCAATATTGCAGTGTCATCCGCAAATGTTGCTATTTTAATAGATTGTTGTTGAGGGATATCGCTGGTGTATAATAAGTAAAGAACCGGTCCTAGCACACTGCCTTGTGGGACACCTGCTTTAATTTCTTTCATTTCGGAGTATGCCTCGTCTTGCTTTACTCATTCTTCCCGTTAGATATGATTGTAGAATGTCGACATATTGTCTAGGGAGCATTTTTTCAAGTTTCTGTATTAGGCCAGCGTGCCAAACTTAGTCAAATGCTTGGGCTACGTCAAGAAATATAGCTAAGCATATATATTTTTCTTCGTATGCTTTTTCGATGATATCGGCTATCCTGTGCACTTGATCTATTGTCGAGTGTTTGTTTCTAAAACCAAATTGGTGCGAAGGGATCAGATTTTTATTTTCAATTATTGGTTTTAGTCGTTTTAGCAGTAGTTTTTCAAATAACTTGCCTGGCTTAGGAATTAGGATACCTTCAGCCATTTTCCACGCATCAGGTATATATTTATATCAGGTTTATATGATAATGCATTATACAAATCAAATATATTAAAAAAGAAAATAATAAAAATCATCTAAGGTAAGATAGAAATGTATCCAACAGAACTGCTGTTTAAAAATAATACTTGCAATATCAGAACCATCTGCATGTCAACAATATGCAGTTACATACATACTCGAATTTCCAACAAAACATTGTAAATCATCAATATCACACAAGACAAAGTACATAAAAAAATTAATATTCCGGTGAGACACAGAAACATTAACCTATATTTTTTTAATTATTTAGAAACAAAAATTTATAATATGTAATACAAATATCTTTAACAACTATAACTTGTTTAAAGAATTATTTAAATAAAGTAAAGAAAGAGTGATTTTAAAATTACCTAAATAAATATTTTTTTTATTTTCCCTGCATTCCACCAAACATTTTACCAATTTCATGTTTTAGTATTGATTTCCAAGTGACAGAAAATACAAAAAATAAATACAAATTATTCAATTCAATTAAGAAAACAGTTTTATACAATTAAAGTAATTTCCAAAGAGACATTTAAACAACTTCAGATAATAAATTCGTAGTACAGGTCGTAGATGTTTAGTTTTACGACTGCTTAGTCAAAACTTAAATACTTTCAAACAATGGTGCCAAATTAGAATTTATAGGTATTAGGTGTCTATGATTAGGTGTAGATCTTATCGCCGATTTTCGTATTTTCTATATACTTAGTAATTTTTATTTATTGTGTTGTGTGAGAGATATGGCTTCGGACGGTGTCCATTTGCCACAGAATGTTTTTATTTATTAATAATAAATATTGTTAACTTACTTGTGCCCATTTCTACTTGCAAGATGTAACGGAGTATGTGGAAATACGGTGTCTGGAGTAGTCCTTCTCAAACACTGTATTAAAGATGGATCAGTCCTAACCAGCAACTCTACGGTGTCGAGTCTACATTAAAAAAATAAAATATAATGATTAAAATCAATTGAGTACCTGCTGTTTAACTATATTTTAAGATATTTGATATTTTAAGATGGGTTTTCAAGGGAAATACCACAAGAAGTGAGAGTTTTTTAAAACTTTTGTTGTTTCTTTGGAAATTATGCGTCTAAATACCACGAGACATCAATCAAAGATGTACATAATTTGTAAGAAAACAATATGTTATCAAAAAAAAACAGCTCGCGTGGTATTTGGAAAGATTATTTAAAAGTATAAACAACTTTTATAAACATTTGCTTTGTTTCCGTATGATGAAGTCGAAAGTGATATCGAGAGTCTTTATTTATAATGTATATTTGAACAAACTAAAACGATTTTTGTCCATTTTTTGTCACCTTTTTGAGAAACTTCAGATTGACGTTTTCCGGGATTGAGTGAAAATACTGCACCATTAAGCATTTTCAGATAGAGTTTTTTTAATTAGCTTGTGTTGGAATAAAACTAGTAACTATAGTCTAGGGAAGAAATTTAATGCAGCAATTTAATTTGCAGAACATAGTACAGGTTCAAGAGGTAGACATTTTATTTATACCTCATCCTTCAATGCTTATTTGTAGTTAAAATGAAAATTTTAATACATCTGATCAGCCTAATAAAAGTTCTCGTTTAGATTTAATCATGTTTCCATGGTTTTTACTTTTTTTTTTTTTTTGACGGATAATTCAGACTATTGATAGCCGTATCGTATGTATTTTAATGGATTCGGAATTTTTGTATTGGTATATATTATAATTTTACAGTTATATAAGAATGGCGAGTGCATTAGAAAATATTGCAAGCACAAATACGCGTAAACGAACTAGTGAAAACAAAGCATTATCTTTAAAAGAAAAAAATATTGTACTTAATGTATTTAATAATCTTCGAAAAGACTTTGTTTCACTCTCTGTGGATGAAATCCACTAAATGTTCGACATATACTAGAGCAGCGTTACTCAAAGTGTGGTCTGCGGAGCCCTGGGGTTTCGCGAAGAAAATAATATTCATAATAAAAAAAGTAGTACTATCGCTACAAAAGGGAGGGACTTGGCTTGAGGACTTTTTTTTTAGTTAGAAGTGACTAAGAGGAAGGAGGATAAGATTTTGCTTGCTCGGAGGACCTTTTGTTTATTTAGAGGTCATCAAAAGAAAGGAGGATATTATGATTTTGATTTTTTTGTGGTAGCTCCGCGAAGAAACGGAGGGACCTGGTTCGAGGCCTGTTTTTTTAGAGTCACTAAGAGGAAGGACGATATGTACCTTTTTTCGAAATGTCTTTAGGACTCCGTCATATATTTCGCTTTTCAAAAAGGTTCCGCTACCAAAAAAGTTTGAGAACCACTATACTAGAGAAGCGGATAGTGTATAATATTATTAAAGAAGATACAATTATTGGCGAAGTCTCACCTCCGAAAAAGTAACAAGTCCTTTATTGAAACTTGGGTAAAGAATGTAATAATCATTGCGTGGAGACATGAATATTTAAAGAAAATAGAAGACGCAAGGAATCAGTATAACATAAATTTGCAAAGATACCTCCATCAAAACTAAATAACATGCCTTTATGGAAGGGGTCTCTTGTGGATTAAAAATCCAACATAAAGAGGAAATCGTTTAATAATAAATAACCCGCATTGAAAGAACCGATTGATTTTTGCCAGATGGTTTATTAATGTTCGAGTCAAAGAAAATAAAAGACTACCATGAAGAAATGGATGGCCCTATGTTTAAAAATTGGTTTCAGAACATTATAAAAAAATTCAGCCAACTCCGTTATTTTTTTGGATAATGCATCCTATCAGAGTCGATTAAACGAGTCACTACCTACAACAAAATGGAAAAGAAGATATTTCAAATTGGCTTCATTCTAAAAATCTTACCAGTCCTCCTAAATCCTTGAAGCAGAATTACTCGTAATAACAAGGCAACATAAAAACAAATTCAAAAAATATATTATAGACCAGATGGCCAGAAAAAGGAAATTCTCAGATTGCCTCCTTACCACGCAGAGTTAAATCACATTGAACTGATCTGGTCACAATTAAAAGGTTATTTTCTCGAAACAATACAACATTTAAATTACCTGATATTTTGTTTTTGAAGGCAGTTACAGATGTAAATGGGGAACAATGGAGAAAATGCATTGATCATGTTAAAAAGGTGGAAAATTCATTTTGGATTGTAGATATAGCAATTGAAAACTTAATAGACCCTATAATAATAAACTTCAGAAAAGATAATGATAAAAGATGTCAGTAGTTATAGTAAAGACAGTGATTTTTAAATATAGTTCTTGAACTTTTACTTTTAATGCCAAGAAATTAAAAAAGTTTAATCTCATTAACAACATATAATCCTCCTTGTTATTTATTTGTTAAATTTAATTCTTTCAATGTTAAAGTGCAACAATTTTGTCAGAATCATAAGGTTTATTTTTATTTTTTAAAATAATATAACTTTTTTTCATTCAAAATTTAATCTACGAAATGACCATATTTATATTATAGAAACTTATTTTGCAAAGTACGCCTATGGAATGTGGCGTTATATCCCCACTTTTACTGCACTTCTCTTTTATTCAGACTGTAATCCACCACTCTTTCATATTTTAACTATAGATATGTCTTTAGAAATTATATGTAGGTAATGTATAAATTAAATTGATGTGTTTATTAACTTACGTTAATAAAGTTACATTCGTATGAAAATCAAACTGTTAAGTAGTTACAGCTTTTATTAATGGGCCAGATACATAAAAGGGCCATAACCCGGAAACAATAAAGTTTATCTAGAAAATTTCGGGATTTTTTTCCAAAATCGTCCTAAACAAAATACTTAAAAATATTTTTAAGTTTGTAACTTGACGCTATGTCTTGCGATATATCATTTACAAAATATAATTGTCTTTTTCATAAAAAAATATATATGGCTTTAAAACTAGTTTTTAGGAAAACTAAACATTATTTTGAAGTGTGTATTTCATTATTATGTGTACATGCAAATTGGGCCCCGAGTATTTTCAAATGTAAATTGGATCTTGGAAACTCCTTTCGTAAACAAATAAAAACAGGCAATAACAGTGTTTGAAAGATTGACTTCTTAATCAGAAGAAAAGAGCAGTGCAGTGTTAAATAAAAATCGGTCAGCTCTATATTTAGAAAACAAAACTAACTAATTTACCTAACCTGAGGAGCCTAGATCCATGTCAGGTTGCTTCGTAAAAAAATTATACATAAAATGAAAAAAACTTCACAACTGTTAAATTATATTAAATTTGATAATAATTATTCTTAATTTGACAAACATACCGTAATGCTTAAAATGCTTAATGATTTCCTACAGCAGATACTTTTACCCGATACAGAAAGGTTCAGGTAGTCAAGAGCTGTTGGTACCGAATTTACCTATTGATAAAGAGGCTTTAAATTTACATATATTTTATCTATGAATTGCTTGGACCCAAATTACTAACCCCCATTATTATATCTATGACCACTATGAAGTTTAATAACAATAGCAATATAAAAAAAAGTCTGATTTCAAAGTTGACAAGCATGAATATCTAGTAAAGTTAATACCCTTGAGCAGTGCATAAAATAAGCCCAAGCTCTTTCAGAAATGTATTAACATTTCAAGTACTAAAGTTAAACCGAAAATTTTGTATATCAATAGGATACTCGGTTAGAAGAAATTATCAAAGAAATCAAAACCGCAAGTCAAACGGAGCTTTCGTTTTCGAGTTATCCTCGTAGTTATAGGTTCGGTAGGCGTACATACAGTATGGTTCAAATGAAAGGAATAAATTCATTATAATGGAAGTAGTTGGTTTTTCGAAAAAATGCTGGGACTGGTCAATTTTGTTTACTTAAAGCGCAATTTCCTACTCGAAAACATAATATTTGAAATACCTTACATAACAATTTTTTTTTAATAAAAGCCATTTAAAGATTAGACACAAATTTTATTTTATTTTGAGAACACTATAAATGAATAAAAGATAATTATTTGTAATTAAGTGCTTAATCTAACAAAATTAATAATAATAATAAAAAAGAATTTGTGAAATTGTCATTAAATTGTTTATTATTATTATTATTTTGTTAGATTAAGCACTTAATTACAAACAATTATCTTTTATTTATTTATTGTGTTCTCAAAATAACATTTGTCTGATCTTTAAATGGCTTTTATTAAAAAAAAATTGTTATGTAAGATATTTCAAATATTATGTTTTCGAGTAGGAAATTGCAAGATCTATCAAAATCAAGAAGAAAAAAAATGGGGTTACTATTTAAAAAAATTGTCAATGACGTCACTGCTCAAAAATGGGAAGTGGGGGAAAATTGAATTCTATGTAAACAAAATTGACCTGTCCGAGCATTTTTTCGAAAAACCAACTACTTCCATTATAATGAATTTATTCCTTTCATTTGAACCATACTGTATATACATGCGATCAGGCGAGATTTTTTGCGTTTTCGGGATTAGTGGTGGGAAAAGTTAAGAAAAGGGTTAAAGAGTGAGGTAAGACATTTTTTGTTAACGCGACTGCAATACTCAAGCCCCCCCCCATAGGTAGTGGCCCTCAGTAATTAGAAATTTTTGAATGTAACTTAAAATAGGTACTAACCGTCCATATTGCGCTGCAAGGTCCAGAGCGGATTCTCCTCGACAGTTCCTAATGCCCGGATCACACGCCCGTTCGAGTAAGAGACTAACAACTTGTGTATGGCCATACTGGGCAGCGCAGTGGAGTGCAGTTTCGTCGTCTTTGGTCTGAAAAAAAAATATTTATAAAAATAATTGTTCGGTTTGTTATAAAATAATAGTTGAAATAGTTGAATTAGTTATTAATATAAGAGTATATTGAACCGAAGAAAGTGTTTAATCTCTATTACACTGCACAACAGCATTTCTGATGATTGAGTTATATTACATGACACTAGCTAAATTATTAATGAAGACTTCAAATATGTAATCTAAATTTCTGTATTACCTCTAGTGTAGAAAATATGATCCATGGCCGTTTCATAATAAAACACAATTTGTTTAAAGTTAATCATATTTTATTTAGTTTTTAAGGTGAAAAAACTTTCTTTTATAAGACTTCCTTGCAGAGGTTGAACCCATAGAACTGTTCTGAATGCTCCAACAATAGTCAGCCATCATGTGTGCGTTCCAGTAGCCTTGATACCGTTCCTCCATCGTACGAAGGTGCTGGTGGAATCGCTCGCCCTGTTATTCACTTAGATCTTAGATCCCCAAGATTAGAGGGAAAATATTCTAGGTGGTTGTGAAGAAAGTGCAACTTGATGCTCATGTTACATCCAAGGGTTTGAAAGTGACTCATTAGTTGTTCAACGTGAAAGAATAGTTAGAACTTTTCTTATTTTCCAAAAAACTTTGCAACAAGCCAAACAAACTCATTCCATGCGTTTTTCTCAATTTCTGTCATAGTTTCCGTAAATTTTGTGTCTTTTATTAACGATCTTATCTGTGTCCCACCGAAAATGCCCGCTTTTATCTTTTGTTAAGATCTTTGACAAACTGTTTTATAAGCTATAATTTTATATGCAAAGGAGGCAAAATTATACGATCTCTTGACACTAAAGGTGTGTTTATCACGTTTTGTTGTCCTGGAACTAGATGTTTTCGAGTAGGCCAATCCTTTTTAACCCAATGTTGATTTTTAGCTCTACTGTCCCACAAGCAAAGAAAACAAGGATACTTTGTGTAACCACCTTGCTGGCCTAATAGAAAGTTGACCATTTTTAAATCAACACATATGATTCAGTTATTTTCCACATATTTAATTTTGTCCAAAACCAGAGCAATATTCTTTTACTTTTGTAGAATGTGCAATTGGCAACGACCCTAATTTATTCCTATTGTGTAAGAGAACACAGTTTAGACTTCGTTTTGACGAGTCTATGAGTAAACGCTACTCACTAGAAACATAATTTTGCAATCCCATTGCAGCCATCAGTCCAGGTACATCTTTACAAAATACGAAATTGTCTTCTTCAGCAAAATATTTGAGGAAATTTTGTTCTCTTGTGCGGTAATAAGAAATTTTAGTTTCTTTCGTTACCAATTTTATTTCTTTTAGCCTTGAAGCCAAAATTTCTAATTAAGTCGTTTAAATCATCTTGATTGAATGGTTTTGGCGTTCCCAGGTCGCATTCAAAGTCGTTTTTCGTCTCAAAATCTTCTGGCTCTTCCTGTAAAGTACCAGATTGAGGTTCAGGTGTAGACTTAGAGCTCAGGACACGTCTATGTGCCGATTGTATGGTAGGATATTCTCATTTGGCTCGATTTTTTCGGTTAATACCAGTTATGTTCACCAAACAAAAATAACAATCGTCATAGTGGTTCATGGGTTCATTCCAAATCTTAGCGGTTTTGTACCTGAAGCTATGTCTTTTCTTATTTGTCCATAAAGGCTTATTCTTCATTTCCAGCGGGTGCCCAAAGTAATTTTTGTAAGCCTCATTTACGAAAGTTGTCCCATTTAAACGGTATTCTTTCAATACATACTCTCCGAAAATGAAACAAAAATGGTTTGAATCATTCACACATACTCTTCTTGACGATGCCATATCAAATTACAAAATAAAACAATAATTCAAATAAGAAAGATAATTTCACAAAAGATCATTTCTTAAGAATTCTGAAATTGGGTTTTACCGGTCATTAAAGAGAGGTATTTTTACCTTTATAAGTATGTTCTAAGAAACTACAGGGGGTGTCCGCGGTCGTACAACAGAGGGGTCGTTAAAGAGGATTATAAATTAATGGTATTTCCAAATAAAATTAAATATGTATAATAATTCAATAATTATTATTAAATAAACTGCAAATACACACTATAATACAGCGAATTTTTAGTAAAAGCTATTACTCGTAAACAAGAGCTGTAAGAAAAAAAAGTGGGGGTATATTTAGAATCAGCGACTTAAAATTAGTAAAATCATGTGACATAAGTCATTCATCAGTCAAAAAGTGTAATTTTGTTGGCCAGTGTTATAGACGGATAGAAATTTGGTAAACTCGTAAAGCAACTGCTACTCAAGTAGTTGATACGAGTTCGAATCCCTGCTAAGTTTCAAAATTTTTAATTCATCCAATGCAATAGAAATATTTATGTTATTAAAATATCACATAAACAATTGGTATTTTGTATTATACTGATCATAATCCAGGGTAACTATTTTTCTACACAAAGTTTAAAGAACATCCGATATAAAAAACCTTCGCAACCCAGTTCCTACAATTTTACAGAAATAATAACAGATTAAAAACTATAGTTTATGCAAAACAATGTTTGATGCACATTACTAATGTCGTCACATTTTCAAAGCACAACTTTTAAAAATAAACACATTAAACAGATTAAGTTTGCTACCTACAGAATTAAATTTAATATTAATAAGGGATGATAGAAAATGTTAAAAAGCAGAAATAAATCATCCAAGAAAAATATACATCCAACTTTGTTTTGCACAACCTATAGATATTTAGTCTATAAACATTTTGTTTTTTGTAGAATTTGTACATCATCACTAATTTTTAGCTTAAACAATATTATTTTTTCGGAAAATAGTAAAATAAATACAAAGTTATAATTGAAGAAATACCAGACTTATTGAACAACTTATAAATAATATTAAGTTTTTTAATCGTCTAATATGAATCTCGAGATAAAGCACATCTTAACGAAATAAACTTTGAAACTTTAAGCCACCGAAAAGAAACGGATTTAGTGTTCGCTTCAGTTTTAAAATTTAAATGGACAAGTTGTCTGTCAGCGGCAGCAGTCAGCGTCCTTTCTCGTTTCTGTCTTTGGATTTCGCAGGAAAACACCGCTCCAGCGTCTCCATCAGGACCCTGCTCCAGTGGAAATGGCACGTTGCACAGTTTTCGTATTATTCGCAGTCGAGCGAATACGGACGCGAAATTGGAAAGATCCCATCAAGTTTTGCATCCGAAAGTTTTGTAAATGCCGAGCTGATCTGCTCTGGAAAAACAGCGCTAAGATGTTTTTTTACGTTCTTTTCTACTTCTTTTTTGTTTTCTAGTTGAACCTTTAACCTTTTTGAGCTCTAACTTCGAGAAATGTTTGCTACCGAAATGGCAGTGGGCTGTACTGTTGGATTGAATATTATATTTCAATAAGTAATGATTTTCACTTGGGAAGTACATAAATATCGATCTTATCAAAGTATCTGAAAAGTTGAGAGAATGGGTTAAGCTCCACAGAACTGAGCCATACATATAAGGCGACAAAAAAAAACACGGAAATTCCGAAAGCTCTCGGCTCTTTGTGGAGATGGACGGCAGATAGAGTTTGAAGGAACTTTTAAACCCAGCCTCAAATTTCAACGTACTATTAAACATTCTGTAGTTTATGTTTCTTCGAACTTATCTGTGTGGCAATTAATTAATGTTTTTTAAACAATTTCTCGATGTTTTTGTGTCATTTACTTTTAATAAGGGCAACAATGTTACAAATAGTGATGCCGCGAGACGAAAGATTCTCGTCTATTGGCTCGTCTTGTCTTGTATGAGACGAGAGACATTTTCTCTAGAAAAAAGATTCGAGAAGAGAGAGTGTCATCTCTCAACGAGAATTTCTCGTTTCTCTCGAGCTCTCTCGAGCAATTAACTTTTTGCTTATTTAAAATTTTCAATTGCTTATCGTAAAATTTAACAATATTAGATTTACAGAAAGTCAAAAAGTTAACTATAATACACCTATTTACAGTGTGGTGATAAAGTAAGAAACAAAATTCATAATTGCATTATTTAATGTTCTCAAGCAAAAACGCTCGAACAGGTCAATTTTAATATTTAGTTAGCCACCTTATGGCATACAATTTTTACTTATGACGTCATGTATTTTTGCACAATGACGTCATCATTGGTTTGTTTAAATGACAACCCTAATTTGTTTGCTGTTTTTAATAGATGGTCCAATTACTTAAATGATAAGTGTAAAAAAATTGGTACTTTAAATAACATTTTTTTTTTTTTTGAAAGAATAACAAACCTACCGAAAGAAATCAAAATTTAACTTTAATGAAAGAAAATCCTAATAACACCCCAAAAACAAACAAAATTTAACGCAAATGTTCAAATTACTCTTCTTTAACCATTTGGCATTGACCGATATGAGTGTAAACACTTTTTTTTTTGTAAATTATCATTATCACGTCTGTACACTTTTGACCGATTTATAAATATTCGTAAATTTTACTTCACATTAGTTAAGTGTAAGAGGTGCATTTAATAAGTTTTTTAAAAGCAAATTCTCTTTGTCGTTAACAAAAAATGCCATGTTTAACTGAACGGGAAAGAATAGAAATTTTAATAATGGTTGGATACGGTGATAAGTTAAGAGCACATCAGGAAGCATGTTAATTATTCAACCAAGAAGACCCTGATAGACCGCCTATTGTAAGATCTACAGTAAGTAAATTGGTTACTATATTTACCGAAACGGGACCCGTCCATGATTTGCCTCGGCAAGGTCGGCCTCCAGTAAACCATAAAACCAAATTAAATGTGTTACTCGAAGCTAAAGAAAATCCTCACCATTCTGCAAGGCAGCTAGCCCTAAATAATAATGTGGACCACTCTTTTGTCGTGAGGTTGTTTAAGAAAGAGAATTATCATCCTTACAAGGTTCAATTGCTTCACGAATTAAACGAGGATGATCCAGACCACCGCCTGCATTTTTGCAAAGAACTAATGTTACTCTGCGATGGAGACCTCAA